GTGTGTGTGTGTGTGTGTGTGTGGTGTGTGTGTGTGTGTGTGTGCTCGCGCATTGGCATCCCGTCAGCCCTTGGCACCGCTTTCCAAGAAGTGTTTATAGACTTAGGCCTTGACACGAGAGCAACACTGCACTTTCTACTAACATATGTGCAGCTCTGTGAGACACACAGCCCCATTAGTCAGCTGAACTTCTGTACTTCACTGGGTAACTGGCACCACTTTGAGGCTACAGATTATAGGTTCATAAATGTTCCCCCTGCCCTCCACTTTCTTCCCCTCCCCTCCCCTTCCCCTCCTCTCCTCTCCCCTCCTTTTCCTTTTCCAAGACAGGGTCTCATATAGTTGAGGCTGGGCCTTGAGTTCAAACTCACAGTAGCAGAGAAAGGATTTAATTCCTGATCCTCTTGCCTCTGGAGCATTGGGATTGTAATATGCGCCACCAAGCCTTGTGAATCAGAAGTACAAATATTTTTGTATAAAAGACACATTTTTATCCTATAAAACCACCTTGTGCAGAGGTCAGACTGGGAGCACCCTCGCTTGTTCGGAACACAAGTTGGCAAAAGACAAAGAGATGCCCGATGGGGCCCTGCTCAGAACTTCGTTCTGCTGGGAAGAAGGAATCGGCCTCAGGCAGTTGCTCAGAACTGCGTGTAACAGAGCAGACAGAGCAGAGGGACCTCCGCCTCAGTGAGAAACGACAGCTGGCTGTGGGGGAGAGCTGATGGGAGCTGGGGTGGCTGGGACTGACAGCCGGGGAGAGGCTGATGGGGGGGTTGGGGAAGCTCTGACAGTGGAGGGAGAAGCTGACAGAGGGGGAGAAGCTGACAGAGGGGGAGAAGCTGACAGAGGGGGAGAAGCTGACAGAGGGGGAGAAGCTGACAGGGGGAAGAGGCTGACAATGGAGGAAGAGACTGACAGTGTGTGTGTGTGTGTGTGTGTGTGTGTGTGTGCGTGCGTGTGCGTGCGTGTGTGCATGCTCTGACAGTGGAGGGAGAAGCTGACAGAGAGGGAGAAGCTGACAGAGGGGGAAGAGGCTGATAATGGAGGAAGAGACTGACAGTGTGTGTGTGTGTGTGTGTGTGTGTGTGTGTGTGTGTGTGCTCTGACAGTGGAGGGAGAAGCTGACAGAGGGGGAGAAGCTGACAGGGGGAAGAGGCTGACAATGGAGGAAGAGACTGACAGTGTGTGTGTGTGTGTGTGTGTGTGTGTGTGTGTGTGCGTGCGCGCTCTCTCTCTCTCTCTCTCTGACAGTGGAGGGAGAAGCTGACAGAGGGGGAGAAGCTGACAGTGGAGGGAGAAGCTGACAGGGGGGGAGAAGCTGACAGAGGGGGAAGAGACTGACAGTGTGTGTGTGTGTGTGTGTGTGTGTGTGTGTGTGTGTGTGTGCTCTGACAGTGGAGGGAGAAGCTGACAGAGGGGGAGAAGCTGACAGAGGGGGAGAGGCTGACAGTGGAGGGGAGGTTCTGACTGGAGGGAGGGGACAGAACTTTGGGATTCTCCTTTCAGTCCCTCCTACTTTGGTGGTCTAATGATTTAGTTTAGAAGTTAATAGCCACAGGGCAGCTGTAAGTTTTGTATTGAACAGCAGAGCCTTGGCGTTCAGATGCTGCTGCTGTCCCCTCTGCTCCCTAACACAGCTCTTTACAGTGCATAAGCTCCCGATGGCAGCCTCCCCCAGGATCCCTGCAGGACTACAGCGGGCTGCTTCCCTGCCTTTTGAGTTTCTGGTTGGACAGGGTTCCATCCTTCCCTTCTTATGCATTCATATCAGCTGCTGCTTGCCCTGCTGGGTGTGTGTGTGACCTATTGTATTACTGCTGTCTGTAGTTTTCATAGGGTTTTGGAGAAACTGATTTACTTAGCCAATTTCACAGAGCAGGCAGGTTTCAAACTCAAATGAGGCCTTCTGGGAGTCGGTCACCTGCGGTTGCAATCACACACTGCTGTCTTAGAGGAAACAGGGGTTATGTCTCACTGGGCAAAGTGCCTGCTGCCCAAGCCTGATGGTGAGTTTGGATCCCCAGAACCAATAGAAAAGCCTGGAGGGACACAGGAGCACAGGCATCTGTAATCCTAGCATATGCTCTGAGAGATGGAAACAGGAGGGTCATAGGAAGTGCATGGGCCAGCTAGGCCGGAGTACACGGTAGTGAACAGTCAGAACTCCAGCTAGTCTGGAGTACACAGGACACACAGATACACACACATTCATATGCACACACACGCACATGCACATACACACACATCAACACATATATGCACATGTAAGTCACCTCCCCTCCACACATACACATGAAAATTAAGAGAGGCTTAATATAGTTTCTGGCTGGAATTTAAAACACATTTTTCCTGGTTCTTTAGAAAATTGAAATATGTAGCACATAGTCTCTCTACAAGGCTGGATGGGTTTTTGGTTATGTTCAATCCCTGTAGCATTTACATTTAAGTTAACGCAAAGAGACTGGAGTGACTGGGTAGAAAAGGAACACACAGAAAAGGCAAGGTTTCAAGTGACTGAGCAGGTGCAAGTTTGGGAAATACCCATGAGGCAGAGGAAGTGTGTGAGGCCAACATCAGCAGGCTGTGAGGGGTGTTAGCCTGGAAAGGATGCACTCACTCTGACTTCATGTTACTTTTTGGACTCTTTAAGGGCCTCTTCCAAGCAAGCAAGCATCCAGTGTGCATGCATGAAGTGGCTGAAAAAAATCAGTTCTGTCCATGCTCGTGTGCCTCTGTCCTTCCCAGTAAGTGCTTTCCTAAGAGCATCCTTGTTCCAGATCCTCTCTGAGTCAACAAGAGAAACATGAAGAAGCCCCTTTACAAAGATTTCTACAGAAGCTTTAAGGAAAATCCCAGGACCTTCCATATCTTTGCCTTCTAAGATTATAGTAGTTGCAGAGCTGAGATCCACGCCCAGCTCAGTCAGGAGAGCAAGTCACGGGGGGGGGGGGGGGGGCATCTTAAATTTGAGATTTACCATGTGGATTGGGGTGCTTTAAAAACCATGAGAAAGATGACCAGGAATATGAAAAGCACAGAGACCATACCAGCTTCAGGTTCACTGTGATCGGAAGGCCTATGACCACAGCCATGAAGACTCAGTAACCTGTAGAGAACGTGGCCAGTGCCTGCAAAGCTCTTCCCACCCCGGGGCTGAAATGTTAGGGAAACCCTTTGGTCACTGCATCAGGGAAATTCCCACATTCTGGACTCTCAGAGGCAGGGGAGGTAGGCAGTCTGTCTCCTCTCTGTAAACCTTGCGAGGGTGCAGTCACACTGTGAGACATAAACCGTTCCCGGGTCAGCAGGATGCAACATTGCTGGGCAGGTGTGGCTGTGGCTTCTCAGTGGAATCCCCAGCCTAGGGGGGACTCATGGGTTCTTGGGGGAAGCAGAGGTCTCCGCAGCTCATTTACTGAGCCCCCTGAGCTGCGAAGTCCCAATCATGTTTGCAGTTTCTGTCTTTGATTTTGCTTGACAGATATTAATGACTTATCGATTGTATCTTTATTTATTGTAAAGCCTTAGTTCACAAGAGCCTTGCTAAAGCAGAAACTTCCAGTAATTAGATTCTCTTCCCGCTTTAAGCCTTATTTGGAAAGGAATTTTACCACTAGACAAATAGACTTAATGAAGTTTTGAATTTTAGTTCCACAAATTAAAACACATACCCAACTAATACGTGTACAGGGTGTAAAGATGGGAAAAGGATACTGCTGTGTGGATTTCCCTGGGGAGATGTGAGCAAGCACCCAGATAAGGCATCAGTGACAGGTCAAAGACAACAACTCCACCCAACTCTAGTGACTTGGCGAGGTCACTGGAGCCACTGAGAGCAGTGTTGGTGTCTTGATCAGTGTGTTCTGTGCTACAAAGAGACACCACGACCATGACAACTCTTACAAAGGAAAACATTTCACTGGGGCTGGCTTACAGCTGAGAGGTTCAGTCCATTGTCATCATGGCGGGGAGCATGGTGGCACTCAGGCAGACATGGTGCTGGAGGAGCTAAGAGTTCTACATCTGGATCTGCAGGCAGCAGGAAGAGAAAGAGAGAATGGGCCTGGCTTGGACTTCTGAAACTCCAAAGCCCCACCCCCAGTGACACTCTTCCTCCAACGAGGCCACATGTCCTCATCCTTTCAAATGGAGCCATTCCCTATGGGCCTATGGGGGCCATTGTCATTCATTCAAACCACCACAGTAAGTGACTCAAAAAGCTTCAGCTCGGGGGCAGCTCTTGAAAGCTGCCACTCTGGAGCTCCCTGTGAGACCTGCAAGTTGGTTATCCATTGTGAATGCCGACATTTCATGAGCCTCATCAGCTCTGTGAGTTTTATTTACTTCCTTGATCTTATCAACCTCTTACTTCCCCCACAGGAGAGAATGTTTCAGTTCAGAGGACAGATTGACTTGTATATATATTCATATAAGTAAATATATATTTCTTTAATGTGCTCTTTACTGTTTTTAGTTGGTTACAGTTTTTTATTTTGGCGTT